TGATCGGGTCCACGTGATAAAGGATCTAGGAGTAATACTTGACCATAAATTGAATTTTAACGCACATATTGAGTACATTACAGCCAAAGCGAAATCACGTTTAGCATGGATTAAACGGTTTGGATATGAATTTGATGATCCATGGACCATAAAGAAATTGTTTTCCACATTTGTATTGCCGATTGTGGAATATGCTTCCCAAGTTTGGAATCCATACACCGCTGAAAAGATTGCACGAATTGAATCGATCCAGAAGCAATTTTTATTGTTCGCTCTACGCAAAATGAAATGGCCACAAAGATTCAGGAAACCACCGTACGAATGCCGACTGCTTGAATTACAAATGATTACGCTGGAAGAACGAAGAAAAATAGCCCAAATATCACTCGTCCATAATGTGATTGGTGGTCATACGTCATCGAAATACATTTTGAGCAAAATTAATTTTAAAACACCGCGACATTGGACGAGAGACTCAGATTTTCTACTATTGCCGATGCATCGTAATAATTATGCCAAGTTTGAAACTATAAATTATATGCTGAGTACATACAACGAATTTTATAAATACTTCGTTCCTATCAAGCCACCAAATTTTCCAAATGAATGTAATATTACTTTGATTCCGAGTTGTGATACTTATTTAATTGATTTCAATGCAAGTACAAGTACTGTAAAACAGAGAGTAGCTGAATATTTTAAGAGAAACCGAATTTGGAGAAATTGAATTTAATTTAATATTGTATATATTGTAAATATACCAGAATATTTTTATTTATACTAAATAAACCACCTCTGGCGAAGAAACGCTGTATGGTGCAGAATAATAATAATAATAATAATAATAATAATAATAATAATGAAACTTTCAGAATCTTATTTTTTCTCCAAAAAATGAAACCTCAGGAAGTTTGAAGCCAATCAGAATCGATTAACGGGTACCTCCCATACAAAATTGTCCGAAAATCGGTAATTTTAGTGAAAATTTCAAAAAATTTGTATGGGAGGTACCCGTTAATCGATTCCGATTGGTTTCAGAATCTTATTTTTCTCCCAAAAAATGAATTCCCAGAAAGTTTGAAGCCAATCAGAGTCGATTTACAGGTACCTCCCATACAAAAGTGTCAATTTTTTGAGGTTTTTCTTTGGGCAAGTACCCCAGGATCGAATTGAAAATGGCTCATCTTCGAACTTAAAAGTTTTTCAGATACAAAACTTTTGGCATTTCCAGATTTTAATTATATCAATTATTTTTTGAGTTATCGTGTTAACAAACACCAACGACGACGACAACGACGGCACACGAACGGAAAAGTGTCTCAAAAAGTGGTTTTCTACGCGTTTCATGAGTTTTTATGATGATCTAAGCTAATTTTGCGAAAAAAGTTTTCGAGACCAATTCCTATACTTTCCCTTGAAACGGTGTGTACGGAAAAGTAATAAATAAAAATAAAAAAGTACGGACAACAGTACGGAAAAGTTTGATTACGAATGTAATTCTTTTTATCTTAATATCAAAATGAAACGAATTACATACGTAATCCAAACTTTTCCGCTCCGCAGCAATTTAGTTTACCTCCCGCTTAATGTTTAACCAAAATTTCAATGAAAGCTTCTTTCATAGCACTTTTGACCTTGAAAACTAATAACTATTCTGACCATTTTCCATATAAAAGTGTCATTTTCGAACAAAATTTCTTCGCAAGTTAACACATTTTTCATAGTGAAAAGAGTATTTTTGGTGTTATATAGATCTTGATCGATGGGATTTGTACCTATTTACATTGCCTAGTGACAGATATGTGCTATTTGAAGTTGAGTGCGATTTTATAGTGGTCGACGTGAGGAGATGTCATGAAATTTTGGCTAGTAAAACCAATACTTTTCCTAACTAATAAAGTTTGCGGAAAAGTAATATTAATACCGATAATGATTAACAAGTAAACCGTCCCAACTGTCACACGTCGATTTTAAAGTTGAATATACAGATCGATGGAGATTGAAAAAAAAATAATTTTGACAAAAGGGCAGCGGCCCCTTTTGGGTCATAGTGGGGATATGACCCCTTCTTTACAATGCTTCGTCAGATGGTTTTTACATAAAAATGCAATTTTCTCATACTGAAAATGGTTTGAGGACAAAAATATGTCGATATGAGATGTTCAAGATACTCCAGAGAATCAAATGACACCTTGGGTGGAGTTGACCTCCACCCCTGAATTGAAATAGAGGGTCAAAAAGTGAAAAAATAGCGAAAAATGACCAACGCATCCCAAAAATAGGGTCAAACCCCCCTTAACCCTCCAAACAAATTATATTTTTGGATTCCTCGAGAAAAATTAACCCCTAGGTTCAGAACATTTCCCATCAAAAAAATCATCCCTTATGTCCAAATTTAAGGCCGGAATGTTAAACAAATCGCACCCCAAACCTTCTAATGTATTCCGGCCTTGGTTTAGATCATAAGGGATGATTTTTTTGATGGGAAATGTTCTAAACCTAAAAGTGATTTTTCACGAGGAATCCAAAAATGTAATTTGTTCGGGGGTGAAGGGTTTTTTTGACCACATATACAGAAAAAAATAGTTTTCTTCAAAATTATTGTATGAAGACTCCCAAAAGAGGGGCTCGGAGGGGGTGACCCATGGGTAAAATAGATAGCCCAAAAAAAATTAGCTATAGTTGGTCATACATTTGTATGCAAAATTTCCACTCCAAGAGGTAGAAAATTGACTCTGTAATAATTGACCCCAGATGTGGGGCGATTTCTGCCAGTTCAATTTCTGGAAGACTGGGTGCGGAGGGCCGTTGGGAAAATACATATTTCCACTAATTTGGGTATGGAGAATCCCAATTTTTGGGTTTCAGGTCAAAAAAGTGTAACCCCTGGGCAGAAGACCTCCCCAACCCCCCAGGGGGTGGAAAATGGAAGGGCGGCTGCTCCAAAAAATTCTCCTCATCATTCTGAACAACTTTGACATACATCATTTTTTGATCAGACGAAGCTTAGGAAACGGGGTGGGTCTATCCCCACTATGCCCCAAAAGGGGCCGCTGCCCGTTTGTCAAAATTATTTTTTTTCCATCCCCAATCGATCTATATATTCAATTTTAAAATCCATTTGTGACAGTTGGGACGGTTTACTTGTAAGATGATATTAATATATCGCATTTTGTGCATCTGTAGTCTTTGACGGCGTAAAGAAATAAATAAATAAAATCAATCCGAAGCTTTGTTTCAACATGCCAAAACTTTTGGCTTTTGCAGATATTGTTAACTTTTTGAAATATCCAGCGAACAAGTTTTCATAGAACGCGGACGCGAACGACGCCATGCACATCGCAGTTTTACACATTATTCATAGTAAACAAAGTATTTTTGGAGTGTAGCTGGGTCTTTGGTAACAAATATGTTTACGGAAAAGTATTAATTGCACGCAATTTCGTGAAAGTTGAACCGGGATGTTTTTTTTCATGGAACATTCACGTAGTACTCTCAAATAACTATGACCAGAATCCACGGTTGTCATTTGAATAGTTTTACTGGTTAGCGTCACATAGAATTCGATTATATACTATATTATGAAATCAAATTGTATACCCAAATTTATGGAATGATCGGATTTTTCCAAGGAGAAAATATCATTTCAATTTTTTATTTAATACATAAGAAAGTTACTTTATTTTTTCTGTTCACAGATGTATTCGTCTCAATTTATTTTTTGCAGAAGAATGGCAAAAAAATTCAATGGACAACCGATAAAAATGCACTTAAATAAATCACAATTGGGTGAAGGAAACATGAAAACCAGTACCATAGTATTTCTTGATGCTATGCATTTGCACTGGGAAGTGAACCAACTGTAATTTTCTTCAAAAAGAAAAAGATCTTAAACTAAAAATGCACTAATTTGATGATGAGATTTTCAAAAAACCAATTTCGAACAATTTCATCTTCATTCCCATAACAATTTATTCATTGTGTTTGTGAGTTAATTCAACCACAAATATCAATCATTAGTAAAATCAATACTCTGAATTTTGCTCATGCCAAAACAATAATCGAAAGTTTTGAATGAAAACTGAATCAAAATTTATTTTTTTCGCCGATATTATTGAATTTAGAATAAAAGAAATGCTTACGCTGCAATGCTTTTAGATAGAGGCCAACGCTCCATTGAAGCCTGATACTTCATGTTTTCAATTTGCTTCTTTAACGCGTCTCGATCCATGGCTGCTAATAAACTACCAAGCGTCTGAAAAAAATATGGGTTAGACCATGGAGGAAAATACATCAGTGTGTGTGTGTGTATTTCATAATAATGAAAACCCTCTTAGTAAACACTCATGTTTGGGGTTTCAATGGAGCCGTCATGAAATAAGAATTGTCTTGAAATAGAACTAGTTGTTGATAGTAGAGCGATAATTTTCAATGATTTTCATTTTTGTTGATTTTCAGATATTGAAATTATCAGCTAATTCTAATTATATTTTTACTGATATGTTTTGAAAAATTTTTCATTGGTTACAGAAAAAAAAATAACGCGATAATAGAGAAACATCGGCTAATGCGCAAACTCCAACTTGAGAGTTTCATCACCCACACTAACAACATTTGTTGCACATAATTGGTCTTGGAGCGAATTCAATAGGTTGATTTTTCCGAATGTTATTCAATAGCCTTTAATTTAATTAAAAATATCCTCATTTGTATTTTCTTCAATGTTTAAAATGTATTTCAAATAAAACCGAATTGGTTTGAATTATTTATTTGGATTCATATATACAATTAAATTAAAAATAGGAGCTAGATATAACAGTAAATCTAAATCTTTGTACTGAATTCATCTTCTTTTTTTTAATAATCTACATCAATACACAAAATAATACATGACCTATCTTCGTAACGGCACTTTCGTGCAAACGATTTGAACAGCTGAACCGATTTTTTTTTACTGTCCAATGATCAATTTGAGTATTATATCTATGAATAAGTAGCAAGACTTCAAATGTGTAACAAATTAAATTAAAAAATCGTATTGTATGATTGTGTGAGATTGTAGTCTATGAATTGTTTGTTCTGATTTCACTTCGTCGTTGAAGTCTAGCTCTAATTGAAGTTCCATGTCAGTAGTTTGTCGTCTCAAATAATCACCGGGAATTGGCTCAGTATCGATTCTTGTAGTGAATGGTAATGGTTTTTTTCGAGTTTTCTGCGTGAACCTTTTGATGATTTACATTTGAAGCAGATAGTCGATAAATGTCCGATTTTGATGGGAAGTACAATTGTTTCAAAGAATGGAAAAAAATCAAAAACAAATGTTACAAACTTTTTAACAATAGATTTGGAGCTTGGTGTTTGTAAAATCAAAAACAAATGTTACAAACTATTAAACAATCGATTTGGAGCTTGGTGTTTTGTATACTTGATATCTTCATTTTGGTTTTCATACCACTTCTTTAACACGATGATAGTTTCATGCCCGCGGTTCCATTAATTTCGGGTATTTTATATTTTCCCATACCTTCTTGCTGATATGATAATTCAAAATTGAAAATATAATTTACATGAGCACAAAAAAAGTAAAGTTTGAATTATATGATGCGACCATGATTGCATTGGGCGACGCAAGTCTCCTGTCAATTGTCAAAAAATGTGAAATGGCTGCATACTTGTTGCTGAATTAACGTGACGGATGTTGAAGTCGAAAATATCATTGTTGAACAAATTTATTCACAAACAAAAAAACCACTTCCTTATTTATATCGAATATTTCGATGGCCTGTAAAAGATTCATTTATTGAAAGTAGTATTGCCTAAAATGGCATTATTTTTCATTCACTTGAGTATTAGCAAACAATACAAATACTGCCCAAGTATAATTGTGTCCACGTTTGCCCAAGACTAACTGTTAACAATGAAGTTACAGCTGTTCTAAATGTGGCCATATACTTTTGCTAGAATAGCTTAAGGCCGCGATAGCAAGTAATTTTGCTTGATGAAATTTGATGTGATTAGTAAATGTTGAATATTACGTCTGTTGAGAAGAGAAAAAAAGAGAAGAATGAAAGGATTATTTTTTTTATTAATAAAAACAAAAAACAATGAAATGAAACAAAGGTCTTTTATTACACCTTTAACTCATAAAGAAAATAAGAATTATCATAATTTTCCTACTCCAGTCTGTGATACTTATTTAATTGATTTTAACACGAGTACAAATACTGTTTGACGCTGTGTTTTCTCCATAAGCTCCCATATAAAATAATACCGCCGCGACACTGGTGTTAGCAAGTGAACTGTTTGACAATCACTCTCTCGTAAGTTTGAAATCTTGTATACCATGTATATACTCATCCGTTGGATGTTGAACGATGTTGCACTGCTATTTTATTTATTTATTTATTTATTTATTTCACACCGCCAAAAACTGGCTGAATATTTTGGTTTGCAGGAAAACGACTCCAAGAGTCGTGAAAAACCTGATCTTTTTGTGTTTGTACAATATATGGTAATTTTATACAATAAATAGTTGTAATAGTCTTTCTGGATTGGTATAACAATTTGGTCTAAAAAGCATTGACACAAGATAACCTAATCAATACATGGAAATGCATAGGTAGCCGAAATGTAAACGGTCCAATATAGCCTAACTTAAACGTGTAAAAAATGAAAGACCAACTGAAGCGTTAACACTGTAGTGACGGCCCTAATGACTGCAAAAGTCATCATTCAATTTATCAAGAGGTGATACATTGAAGAAAAGTTTTACGTCTAATCTAACAAGTCCCTGTTGGTAGTTATGAATTTGTAATTTAGTAGAGACCGGAAGACATAAGAAAAAAAAAATTTACAATACTAGCAAATACATAAACGGTAGTTTCCATTATAAATTATAAATTAATGGCAGGTCAAAAGTTATTATTATTATTATTCATTATTATTATTCTGCACCATACAGCGTTTCTTCGCCAGAGGTGGTTTATTTGATATAAAATCCTGTTGTTCATCAACGACATAGTGGACGAAATGGACGACGTGTTCATTTCTTTGTTCGCCGATGATGTAAAAATCGCGAAAATCATCCACTCGAGCACGGATGCGGAAGCGTTACAGCGAGCCATCGACAAACTAAAGGTTTGGTGCGACGTAAACAATTTGCACCTGAACCTTGACAAATGTGCCGTCCTTACAATCACCACAAAAAGGAAGGACATCATCGACACTAATTATAAATACGGTGATTTTACCTTCAAGTGCGTACGGGACCACAAAGATCTCGGCGTCATCATTGACCAAAAGCTTAGCTTTATAAAGCACATTGACGCGATCACCTCGAGAGCTACAGCAGCCTTGGGATTCATCAAAAGATTTTGTTACGACATAACCGACGTTCAAACGCTCAAAACACTATACTACGCACTGGTTCAGTCTCATCTTGAGTACTGCAATGTTGTATGGCTACCAACTTATACCGTGCATATCGACAAAATTGAGAGCGTGTTGAGAAAGTTCACCCAGTTCGCCCGAAGAGAGTACCGTACGGCGGCCAACGGCTACAGTATCACCGACTACAACAAGCGACTTGAAGCGTTGAACATGACATCGTTGGAGCGTAGGAGAGTGAATGCATCTATTGTATTCATGTACGACATCGTGAATGGGATCGCAAATTGTCCCAATGTACGCAATGACATCGCAATTGGAGAGAGCGCACGTAGGTTAAGGCACACAGACTACCTAAAGATTAAAGATAAGCTCATGGACAAACAAATCAGAGCTCAAGTGCCTCAAATATGCAAGTTTGCAAACAAAGTGGCTGAAGAATTCAATAACTCAACCAGCCGTGCTAATTTCATCTCGTCGATACGCAGCGAACAAAACCAAAAATTTAATATTAAATATTGACAAATTTTTATCTTACATCCCTACAAAATGTATAGAAATAATGATATTTATCCGTGATTTTTACACAAACTTTAAAATAAGTAGCAACATTAACTGTGATATAGCCATCCATTGAGTTGGTGATTAACTTTTGACCTGCCATTAATTTATAATGGAAACTACCGTTTATGTTAATGTATTTGCAAGTATTGTAATTTTTTTTTCTTATGTCTTTCGGTCTCTACTAAATTACAAATTCATAACTACCAACAGGGACTTGATAGATTAGACGTAAAATTTTTCTTCAATGTATCACCTCTTGATAAATTGAATGATGACTTTTGCAGTCATTACGGCCGTCACTACAGTGTTAACGCTTCAGTTAGTCTTTCATTTTTTACACGTTTAAGTTAGGCTATATTGGACCGTTTACATTTCGGCTACCTATGCATTTCCATGTATTGGTTAGGTTATCTTGTGTCAATGCTTTTTAGACCAAGTTGTTATACCAATTACTTACAACTACTTATTGTATAAAATTACCATATATTGTACAAACACAAAAAGATCAGGTTTTTCACGACTCTTGGAGTCGTTTTCCTGCAAACCAAAATATTCAGCCAGTTTTTGGCGGTGTTAAATAAATAAATAAATAAATAAATAAATAAATAAATAAATAAATAAATAAATAAATAAATAAATAAATAAATAAATAAATGAATAAATAAATAAATAAATATTTGGTTGCATATTTACAATATCCCGACGAGAAATTTGCGGTAAAATAGGTGTACGTCGACTATCCGTCGCATATCCGTTTTTGAGTGCGGATACTCGCAATGCGAATAGGTATCCACAATAAAA